CGCCGCCCTGAGCCTGGCGCTGGGGCGGCGGGGAGGGGCGGCACGGCGGGTGGAAGGGGCGCGCGAGCGGACTCGCACTTCGAATCCCGTATCCCGCCCAAGCCGCCTCCGCTGGCCGGGGCCACAGGGTACGCCCTTACGCGCAAAGGAGCAGAGCCGCCGTCCCCGGTGCCTGCCGGGTCAGTGGTCTTCCCTACTGCCTGGAGACCAATTCCCTTGAATCCCTCCAGGTCCCTTCTGCATTTCAGGGTCAGTCCCTAATAAATACTGGACTTTTGTTCGCGGCCTTGGTGAGACAGAGTCCTGGTCAGCCCCGACGCTCTGGTTTTCGGAAGTCATTGGAAACAGTCCCACCTCTTGTACACCTGCTGGAAAGACTCCAGTCCTGTCTTCCCTTCCACCTGGTCTTCCCCACCCCCCACCCACCCGGGAGGGTATGGGCAGCAGGTGGTGTGGTGGTTAGGGCCATGGATCCCACATGGTTGACTCTGGTTCAATTCCTGGATCCAGAGGCTTGAAAAACATTCTATATGTATGTGTTGTGTGCCAGAAAATCCTGAGAGGAGAATGGAGAAGGGATTGCAGCGTGGCCAACCCCCTGGAGGGTGATTTCTCACTTCCCTTCTCTTTTTCCAGCAAGTAAACGCACTGTATGGCAAAAATAAAATAAGACGCACTCACAGAGTGCTTCCCATTCTTAGATGAGATCACACTTTGTAAGACAAAGGACATCCCAGAAGCACTTCAGCAAAGGCTAGCTGTTTACCTTGTTTCCCCCTAATTTTTGCCACAGGGCCCATGTGCCCACCAGAGAGGGAACCAGAGGAAATGGTCATGCTGCAATCCCTTCTCCATCTCTCCCTCCTTTTGGGCTTTTGGGCATGTGCAGCACTCAGCCTCTCTTTCAAGCCTCTAGGTCTGTGACTCCAACCTGCAGTTGGCCATGTGGGATCCAAGCCCCCTTAATAACCAAGCCAGGCGCAAGGATTGCCTTTAGTACTATTATGCCTCTCCAAGACACGACTAAACCAACAAGAAGAAAGTGAAACAAATATTCAGTAAAAATTAGAGGGACCACAACTCCAAAAGGTGCTGGACCCAGATGGTTTATTTTTGTTTTACTATAGGGCACGTGTGCTCACCAGAGAGAAACAGAGAGAGAAAGTGAGAAATCACTCCCTGAGGGGATGGCCACACCACAATCCCTTCTCCTCCATTCTCCTCATGAGATTTACGGCATGCACACACACACACATGCCGAATATGATATTCAAGTTGCCGGGTCCAAGACTGGGACCATGGTTGGCCATTTGAGAGTCCAAAGCCTTCACCACCGTGCCACCTGCTGGCCCTGGGCCCAGGTGGTTTTACAGAATTCTTTAATCTCCACGGTGGGAAAAAAATTTTTGAGCACCCTATCAAAATGTATGAGTTTGCTAGTATAAGAACCCCCAAAATGGCAAAAGACTCATGGGTTAGAGAGCATGGGAATTGTGAGGTTATGGGTTGGGGGAACACAATGTTCACATGGGCATCCAGTTTTAAGTCAGCTTGATTTCACAAGTCCCAGAAATGCTGTGTGCTTCAAGTCAGGCAGAATGATCAGAGAGGGTAAGTGTGTGACTACCAGTCAGGAGAAAATACAGCTGCAAAGTGCAGGACGTTCACCTGTTACTGAGACTGGGCTAACTCGGCCTCATTCCCAGCTGAGGCACCTGGCAGGGTCAACTCACCTGAAACTTTGAGACCTTGCCAAAAAGCAAATGGAAAACGAAAGCATTAGATTTTTCTTCTTCTTTTTCAATGTTATTTATTTATTTATTTTACAATTAAAGTATGAATTCATTTTGGTACAAAAACTTAATTCATACATAGTTTTCCCATTACACATATTTCCATGAGCTTTTTTAAAAAAACTTTTTAAAAATTAATTAATTTACATTTATTTCCTAAGCATCATCCCAGTATACAAAATGTGATTTCCCACCCAGAATATAGTGCATAGTGGCTTAATCATGCATGTTATTGTCAATAATTTTCCATTTCTAATTTCATATATATATATATATATGTATGTATGTGTATATATATATGTATGTATGTGTATATGTATGTGTATATATTTCCCCCCTATTTCTTACCCTCTGCTATTTCCCATTGTCCTCCCACACTGTTTCTAGCATCTTCAGTAGCTATCCATTCCTTTATTTTTTTCCCCACATTTCATTGATTCACAGAATATCTTAATTAATCTTAATACCTTCAATAGCAAGTTCAGCTGATATATACATACCTATGAACACGTGTTGACTTTATGCATGAAATTCTGTAAGTAGAATGAATGTACTAAAAAGTAGCACCTAGCTACGGCTATATAGCTTACTGAGGTCATTAAATAAGTATTCTTTTTAAAATATTTTTGTTTAATTTCAAGGGAGGCAGTTTTAGCTTTAATAAATCAAAATCAAAAAATGGTAAAGGAACTTTGCTTAGGACTTAAAGCCAGGAAACAGGTTAGGATTCTGTTCAAATAGTAGGTACATGGAGCTGATGACAATTCAAGAGAAGACAATGATCCTTAACTCTGGACAAAGCATAGAAGATCAGTAATGTTTTAGCCAAAAGTCATAAAATTTTATTTCACCAATTCAAACTCATATACTTAATCTATCTTCTGTTGTGGTCTGATCTTTCCATTTAAATTCTGGAAGACAACGTTCAGCTCTGGACTTGTCCCTGCTATTAAGCTGGCCATGTTCTTAGTTGTTTTAGCACTCATTCCTATGTGTTTGACTAGTTTTTCTGAGATAGCACTGCCTATAGAACTTCTTGGAGAACTGGTCTGGTGTCAGTAAATTCTTCCAGATTTATTTTGGGGACTGGATTTTTGAGTGCCTCTCTAGGTTTGGAAAGTTTTCTTGCAGGATTTCATGGAATAGATTATCAATGCCCTTAGGAGTCTCTTTGCATTCTGGAATACCAATTATACAGATGTTTAGACATTTGATGGTATTTGTTATTTCTCGTATTTTATTCTCATTTTGGGGGACAATTTTCTCAGTCTTTGTGGTGGGTTTTTCTAGGCCAGCAATTTTCTCTTCTATGCCTGAGATTCTATTTTCTGTATGATCTAGTATGCTTTTAATACTTTCAAGGGAGATTTTGACTTCCTGTATTATAGCCTTCATCTCTAACAGGTCCATTTGATTCTTTTTTAAAGTGTATAATTCCTCTTTTAGATCTCGCAAGAATTTCCTCACCTCCTGGAACTCGTTAGCTACTTTCTCCTGCTTCTTCTGTAATTCATTGTCTCTCTTCTCTTCCATCTCTGTTAGCTTCATCATTATGAGTATTCTAAATTCTTTATCAGATATTTCCATGATTTCCATTGAACTGTCTGTGGAGGAAGAGGAATTATTCTTTTCCCTTGGAGGAGAGGTATTTTCTTGCTTTCCCATATTTCTTGTGGCCCTACGGTGATTTCTAGACATCTGGTGGATGGTGTGTTTCTTCCTAATTCTTGAAGTTCAATCTGAGCATTCAGGAGCTTGCAGAAGGAGGTGAACTGGAATCTCTTTGCCATTCCATTTTTATCCCTTTGTGCAGAAGATTCAGTGGATATTGAGAAATATGTTAACCCTAATAGTATTTGGATGTTTGGCTATGGCTCCCTTAGATCCGTCTAGAAACACAGAGACTGGAGATTGAGAAGAGTGATGAGATAAAAGAAAAGGAAACAGAGAAAGAGAGAGAGAGAACAAAGAAACAGACAAAGAAGAAACATGAAAAAAAAAATTTTAAGCAAAAAATAAAAAACCATACAGCGCATGCTGTGTGAAAACTTTAGTTCTCAGGAGCCATGGAGGAGTCTTCTGAAGGCTTGCCCCCTTGCCTCTCCTGGATGGGGGTGGGGGTGGGGTGATATTAGCAAGATAAAGGTGAGGCTGAAAGCAAGAGAATACTTTACCTTAAAAAAATTTTTTTTCTTTTTTTGAAGAGGCTTTTGCTATAGGGCACGTGCGCTCTCGCCAGACAGACAGAGACAGAGAGACAGAAAGCGAGAAATCACCCCCAAGGGGGGATGGTCATGTCGCAATCCCTTCTCCTCCATTCTCTCGGGATCTTGGGCATGCACGCACACATGCCCGGCGTGAGTTTTAAGCTACTGGGTCCACGACACGAACTGCGGTCGACTACATGGGAGTCCAGCAACATAGCCATTACGCTAACTGCTGGTCCCTACCTTAAAAATTTTTAAAAAGGAAAAATTACCAAAAAAAAAAAAAGAGAAGACCGAGGCAGAGACAGACTGAGACAGAGACAGAGAGAAGGCTAAAAGGGCTCCCTACCACTCGAGTTTGTGGGCTAGAGGCTGAATTATCAGTAGAAAATCTTCATTTCTTTTTTCCCTGAAATCACTAGTTCTCAGGAGCCATGGCAGTCTTCTTCTGAAGGCCTGCCCCTTGCCTCTCCCAAGAGCATTAGATTTAAATGGGAGATCTTGAGAGAGAGTTCCCAAGCCCCAAAGGAGAATACAGCCTTCCTCCAGGTTGGAGGATAACCGTTTTTTTTTTTTTAATTTCTGGAAATAAGTATTTCCTTGTAGAATCTAAGCTTCAGCATTGTGTTCCCTAACCTTTTTCACGACCTGGCTTACAGAAAATGGAGCTACTTACACAAGGGTTTCAAAAAGCTTGTGGAAAAGATGTTTGAAATCCATGCAGTTTTTTTCATAATCTGCATTTTCTATGAATTTTTGAAGTCCCCACCCCAACATCACACTGGGGTGAATAGTCAAGACTACAGCAATGGGAACCCACTGCCTGGGGCTGCATTTTCCCAGTCCCCTTGAGGTGGAAGGTGTCAATACCTGTACCTGTACCTGTACCTGGTTCCCACATCCTA